CGCACTTATAAAACAAAGAAACACAGAAAATGGCGAGATACGGGTCATGTCGTCAATATGTCATACTGCGCATGCACCATGCACTGTGCAAAGCCAAGAACCATCCCAGGATGGGATCACTCTAGAATTTGCCTAGGATATCCCAAAATTGGAGATTATTCGGCTTTTAATATCTTCATAGGATATTTCCAGGACATCCTGTTTGGATTTACCTGGGATATCCCCAACTAGGATATTGATAGGATCTACTTGTCTTATTTAAATATCATCAGGATATCCTGAGGAGTGAGATCCCCGATTAGGATATATAGGACTAAATGAGGATATCCCAGGGACGTCATGTGCTGTGTGGGGAAGTTTATAAATGGTTAAGATAATTAAGATAAGGTGTACATTATTGTAATAAAACTCAATATATTTGAAAATATTTATTAGCTAGCGTCTTAAATTGGTGAAATTAATTTTAAAAAGTATAATTGACTTTTTTTTATGAAAATATATAAACTATAAATGGGTAAATAATATTAAAGTTGAGAACTATCCAAAATATTCTAAAAATATGTAAAAAAACATATTTTTTTATCACTGAAAAATTAATTCATAAGATCTTTTATTAAAATATTTAAAAAAAAACTGCCTAACTGAATTTTACCTAAAGTCAGATAAATATACAAAATGGGTTGAAAAAAGGTAATACGTAGAAAAATACAAACAAAAAAAAAAGATTGGATAAAAAATTATAAAATACTCACAGCCATCTTAGGTAACTTCAATACTCACCGAGCGGTTCTCGTAAGGGGTGATTTGAAACTGGTTCCCGAAAAAATAAAAAAAGTTAATTACAATGAAAAACTGGTATAGACATGAAAGAACAGAAAAACACATTTAAACATCTACCGAATTCTTATGAGAGCGGATGATGAAGTGGTGTGAACAAAACAATTGAGCACCTAATTGTCTCCATTTTTTTTTTATTCAATTGGAACATACTTGCAAGATAGGCCAAATTCGACACGTTTTTCCTCCCGTTTAAAGAAAAGATTAAAAAAAAAGTAGTTTAGAGCCGTAGGTTTGATTTTTGAGAAAAATTTAATGCCAAAAACCGTATCTCGGTATCTTGATTTGTTTAAAAAATACAGGTTTTTTTATTTTGCTCGTTTTATGCGATGCCAGACAACTTCAAATTCTGTTTCATAGAATATTGAAAAATATATAAAAAATAATAATAATAAATTTGTGTTATAACTGAAAAACCGAAAATTCTAGAATATCACATTTATAATTTTTTTTTTAATGAAACTATATTTTTCAATATTCAAAATCTGCATAAAATTTCCTTTTTAAATGATGTATCATACAACATTTTTTTCAATTATAAACACAATTTCTTTTATTGTAAATACAATTCGATGTACCATTTTTTTAAATCAATCATGCTTATTCTGTTATAGAAATATTTTGTGCAAATATCATGTATGATCTATCATTTGATATTTTACACAGATTTCAAATATTGGAAAAAAATATAGGATGATTTAAAAAATATTATACGTTTTATTACAGGGTGATTCACAATTAGTGACCAAAAATGAAACCTCATATTCTTTGGGGCATTTCCTATATAGTTCTTATCTAAGACGCTTTGTTAAAAAAATACAGGGTGTTGAACTTCAAAAAATATTTTTTATTTTTTTAAATAATTTAAAAACTAGTAAGTGAAATAATTTGAAAGTGGGCACAGTATTTATGTAAACATTGTCCAAAATCTGAGGTTTTTCCAAAAATTAAATGCTCCAGTGGCGGAGATGCAGGAAAAAACCCTAATTTTTAAATTATTTAAAAACATTAAAATATTTTTTGAAATTTAACACCTTGTATATTTTTAACAAAGCGTCCTAGATAAAATCTTTATAGGAAAGACTGTTCTTAAATTCACCAAAGAATATGAGGTTTCATTTTTGGTCACCATTTGTGAATCACTCTGTATAACTGGAAAACCAGAAACTATAAAAAATATTGTGTACCTCACAAGATTCTGATTAAAAAACTGTTCGAAAAACCTTTACAAAAGTCAAATCTTTCATAAACAAGTTATAAGGCATCATTGAAAAATGCAGTTATTTCTTAAACAAATGAACATCCAGATGTCATTTTGTCAAATTATTCTTAAAAATAAAGCCTACGACACCTAAATTCCTTTTTTCTAGCCCCCAAAAGTATCAAATTTTGTCCATCTACACAATCATGATAAAAGAAATGTTTTTTTTTTAATATTATTGCAAAAACATAATCATACCATTAAAAAAACAATGTTTTCTGTATGTAATCATTTCAAATTCCATTTTTTTAATAAAAGCATAAACCACTCAGAAATTAGAATTGAAAATATACACTGTGGACACAAAAAATGTTTTTTAATCCTGTCTAAAATAACTCTCGATATTTTTATCCATATAAACTGAAATAATATGCGATAACTCTTCCATTACATCATCAAATGCGTATAGAATTCGATAACAAATTTAATTTGTAACATTCAATTACCGAAATTTACAATAGAACTACTAAAATTTGAGCCTCTAAATCGGTTCATAATCATCATCTCTTTTTTTTATATAAAATACATAAGTGGTTTTAAGTTAAATTTTTCTCTCTAACCCCACGAAACCCGCGAGGCAGTCATTAAATTCGCAGAAAATTACATTTACCTATATCCTACCTAACCCAGGTTAACTTTAAACAACTGAAACATAGGATTAAACACTGCATATGCAAATTCTTGAAAATAAAGCCTGTCGCCTAGCCAAAATCCTAAACATTTGGATTTTCTTCTATTTTTTTTTTCTTTAAATAATTTTTCCCTATTTACTGTTCTGACAAAAGAAACCTGAGCTAAATAGACACATCTTTATAACCTAACAAGAACTAAATCTATACATACCTAGTCAACATTAACCTCGACATATATCACTGTTACGACTTTTCTCTCCTACACTAAATCAAAACTGCTGTTCTTCCTAACACTATTATCCTAATTCAGACCTAAATAATCCATATGCGTTAAGCAGTCTGTTCGTTCATAACTGTTTGAAGTCCTATAAAGTTATCGAGCCAGCTTTATATCAATCCCTATCAACTAAAATGTCAATTTTTCATTCAAATCGATGGAGAAATCGAAATGCTGAAATCTTTGTAGACCTAACTTCAAAAAGAGGTTAGAAAGTTTGACACTGACGTCAGAAAACGAGGTTAGAAAATCTGACATTTGCACGAACTAACCTCAATTTTTGACAGATGTCAAATTATCTAACCTCTCTTTAAAACCGAGATTAGTCCGTAATTAGACTTTTCGTAGTAAAATAGACTGTGTAATTTTTTCTTATAAAAAAAATAATGTTAGTATGTCATTATACTGTGGTTCCAAAATAGTAGGCAGTAAGTTGCACCACATTTTTACAAGTTAATTGGATAAAATAATTTTGTTTATTCTCGAAAATTGTAAAGTGCTGTTCATAGTGTGCCGATATGTTTAGGTTGCGCGCACTTGGAGCGTTCTATTGATACAAACGCCCATTTCTATTTTTGCTGATCATGTACAAGCGCTGTATAGTTCCATTTCTCAATTTGTCAGTTTTCAGCTTAGGCGTTTCATTTCGTGTCATATGCGTGCAAGCGGTAAAAAATGATTTCACGTTATTCCGTTTTTAAAAATGAAATCATGTGCGAGTGTTAGTGAACAAATAATGAAGGTAGTTTTAAACGGGCGAATTTAACAGCTCAACAAGGTTTATTAAAGAATTTGAGTGCGAAATGGGGAAACTTACAAGGAAATTGAAAAAACATGTTAACAGAAAAGAACCAAATTGTAGCCATGGCAAATTAAATAAATACAAAATAAATGTAAAACCGTTTCATAAAAAAAAAATAGGAATAGGAATTTTTTGTTTGAAATACAATTGTAAATGCAGTATGACTGCCAAATGTCTAAATATATCATAAGTGTAGAAATTTGTGATGACTTGAGACATTGCTCAATTTGTCAGTTTTCAGTTTAGGCGTTTCATTTCATGTCATATGCGTGCAAGTGGTAAAAAAAGATTTCAGGTGATTCCGTTTTTTAAAATAAAATCGTGTGCGAGTGTTAGTGGACAAATAATGGGGGTAGTTTTAAACGGGCGAATTTAACAGCTCAACAACGTTTCTCAAAGAATAGAAATATTTTGTTGTTTGAAATACAATTATAAATGCAGTATGACTGCCAAATGTCTAAATAAATCATAAGTGTCAGTTTTCAGCTTAGGCGTTTCATTTCGTGTCATATGCGTGCAAGCGGTAAAAAAAGATTTCACGTTATTCCGTTTTAAAAATGAAATCATGTGCGAGTTAGTGGACAAATAATGAGGGTAGATTTAAACGAGCGTATTCAACAGTTCAACAACGTTTATCAAAGAATTTGAGTGCGAAACGGAAAAACTTATGTAATATATATGTGAAACTGTTTCATAAAAAAATTAATAGGAATTTTTTGTTTGAAATACAATTTTAAATACAGTACGACTGTCAGATGTCTAAATAAATCAAAGTGTAGAAATTTGATGATTATTTGAGGAATTCCTCGATTTGTCAGTCAGTTTCCAACTTAGCCGTTTCCTTTTGTGTCATATGTGTGCAAGTGTTTCCTAGTAACGATCTAGTCATATTTAAAATATTTGGAACCTTTTCAAATGATAAGAAATTGCATATAAAGTCGAGAATGAGTAAACTGCCTACAACTCTGGGACTTTAGTACAGAAGACATCAAGATGTTCAAATAAGAGTATAAATATAGGTTAAGAGCAAAGAATCATTATAGTGAAAACACGAGCAAGGTTTCTGCAATTTTTTTTTTTTTAATTTCAATGCCAGGATTGTCGGACTAGACGTACCCTACCTGTGACGAACCTGTCCATAATCTATTAAACTCCCCGTTCTACACCTATCGCTTGACGAAAACACTAAAATTATACTATCTTACTCCTTTAATAAATTAATCAATACAGTTACAAGTATAAACCTACATCTAACGTGAAATGTCAAAAATAATCATAATAAAAAAACCATAAGTGACGTTGTCACACCATAAAACTAGCTTACATAAACACTTTGAATTTAAACCTGCTATGTAGAATATATATGAGTGGTAATGGTACATGATCCTGCACAAAAAAAGAACACTTATTGCACAACTACATTTAATATTTCCTTAGTCTTGGTTTTAAATGTCGCAAAAAATTCAAGTTACGCACTAATTTCGATCGAATCGGGATCCCTGTGCAAATCGTCCCTCGCTACTTTGTACAAAAACTTTTAGACCCAACGGATACATCTGATATACTGAGTATGGGATGAAATTTAAGTTATTCGTGAATGACGTACACCGGGCACTGTCGCTTTAAACGCAGTGTATCAGTGCACTTACATGTTAAAATCTCCTCGGTCCCTGGTTGCCCCCGTTTTGCTGGTAGCCGCCGCCGCCGCCGCCGCCGCCGTAGCCTCCGGCATCTACAACAACAGAATGGATTCTATGATATCGGTGGTTTGTAACTCCGGCAACGTTGCGTCTCTGTGATACTTCCGATACGCGGCTCGAGCTACGATTAACATTAATGGGGTTATTTCCTGCGATGCGATAGAAAACATCGTTGCCGGGGTTGCCAGAAGTCGACAGTTTTCTTTTATAAGATTCTCCGCGTCTCTTTTTCGAAATAGGGTCGTTCCGTATGTTCTATGTAAAATTTGAATTAAACATAAGATCATTGTAAAATAAGGCAGATAAATAGCATAATTAGTGTATTTTGTCCTGTTTCATTGGAGTTTCCCAAAATAAAATTAATGTGAAAGTTTTAGAAATTGGAACCTTCATTACATATATAATGATAATTTTGTAAAGTCTTATTATGTTAAGTAGGCAGTGCCAGCAAACGGCCAATAATAGTGGGTAGTATTTGTCTATATTATTACCAGAAAAGTGGAAATATAGAAATTATGTAATTCAACATGGTAATTCAATATGAAATATTTTTTAAATGACAACTACTCTACCGACTACAGACCCTGTCCAGCATTGAATTACATTTGCAATATTTAATATATAGTTAAGATCGTCCATCGGCTGTTTGTCTCACCCACATACTGGAATATTGTTTTTTTTTTTGGACAACAATCAAAAATAAAAAAAAATAAAATACATGTTAAATAGTTTACACAAAAAATATACCGGGTGTCCCATTTTAATTGATACATGTAAATATCTCCTCAGAGAAGCCACCAATCAAAAAATGGCCTATAGTAAAAGTTGTTCAGTTTATTGGGGGAAACCAGCTACTTATCTAGGATTTGACCTTGACCTCACCTTGAAGGTCAATTGAAGGTCAACTTCGGAACTTTGGAAATGGATTCAGCACAAACTTTTACATCCGGATGTGATCATAACTTTGACCTTGAGGTCAAGGTCAAGGTCACAATGCGTTTAAATGAATCGTCACCCTTGAAGCAGCCTCGGAATAAGATGTTGACCTCTAGAATCGATCGGATTTACATCAAGGAACACAATAACGACCTTCTATTTGTCCTTGACCTCTACTTTCTCAAGGTCATTGCAGGAAAAAATAATGCTATGAACGAGTGAAGGGAGAATGATATAAATATCTTGTTACTCAACGAAGGTATAACTTCGCTCGAGAATTGAAAAGATATATCTGAGTACGTTAAAAGTAAAATTGATTGACGGTGAAAAATTGAAAAACAAAAAAAAAAAAAATTTCACATTACTATTTGTGAGCCATTGAATTATGTTGTCATAATTCGATGGCTCGAACAAAGTGAAGGTCAAGGACGAATCGAAGGTTACGATTGATGTAAATCCCATTGATTCTGGAAATCAACATTTTTTCCGAGGCTGCTTCAAGGGTGTCAAATCATTTAAACCCGTTGTGACCTTCACCTTGATCTTAAGGTCAAAGTTGTGATCACATCCGGATGTAAATTTTTCTGCTAAATTCATTTGCAAGGTTAAAAATAGGGGGTCCCATTTAAAACTCCGAAATTGACCTTCAAGGTGAGGTCAAGGTCAAATCCTAGATAAGTAGCCGGTTTCCCCCAGTGAATTGAACAACTTTTACTTTAGGCCATTTATTTAAGTGTGTCAATTAAAATGGGACACCTGGTATAGTAAAAAACAAAAAATATACTTTCCAAAGAAAAATTTAAGGAAATTTTAATAAAATTTCATCAAATTTGAGCCAACAAAATATGCAAACTGCAAATGTTTTGTTATTCCGATTCTTAAATCTTATTACGAATTTCAATTTTTTTTATTGAATTGTAGAATAAAGGTTCCAAGCAAGCATTCCTATTATTCTAATTATATGTCGTGTTAGATATTTTTTTAAATGCTACACTAAAGAATATACATAGTGTTTTCTAAGTCCACATTATAACTTCACATGGTTGTTCCCTGTATAATTTTTAATAAGTTTTAAAAAAGTCATATTTATTCACATGCCTCTGAAGATGTTTGATATAAACTGAGGAAATTTGGGCTCACAATTTTTCTAATTAAAGACAAAAATTCACTGAATTGAGTATTTTATAGATTGAATAACTGCATTTTATTTGAAAAAATAAGGTTATCCAACTTTCAAAATATTTGGTGTCGACATTCTGTGGTCTTTAGTAACTATGCCTCCCAGAATATCAGCCACCGGTTGACAAAGAGTAATCGCAAAAATCGACAGTTTTTTCACAATTCGCAGAGAACTAAAGAAAATAAGATAAAAATATGTTTTTGGTCTCAAATTACTCGTCGTAAAAAATTAAGATGAACATAGCTTTTAGTTTTTTGAAAATTTTCAAAAATCACACCTATGTAGGGGTTGAAAAGACGCCCAAAATGAAGAATTGAATATTACCAATAATTATAAAAACTAAGCATGTGAATTTTTCTATCGAATGATTCTTGATACAAAGAAAGATTTATTCTCACGACTAAAATAAGCATGTTGAATTAGAAAATCCACCCTTAAGCGCGCTTGGGGGGTGGAATCATCTCCAAAAATAGAGAATATCAGAAATAATTGTAAAAATTTCAAAAAAATATATTAAGAAAATTCACATGCTAATAGTTTTTATATCAATTGGTATTATTCAAATTCTTCATTTTTGGTATTTTTTCAACCCCTAAGTAGGGGTGATTTTTCATATTTTCAAAATACTAAAAGCAATGCTCATTTCAGTTTTTTTACGACAAATAGTTTGCGACCAAAAACATATTTTTATGTATTTTTTTTTAATTTTCTGCGAATTGTGAAAAAACAGGCGAAAATCACGGTTTTTTGCGGTCACTCTTTGTGTATTCTGTGAATTTTAGTCTTTAATTATATCGTTAGTCCAAATTTCATCAATACATATCAAATGTAATTGTGATTTTTTTTAATTTTCAAAGGAAAAATCTCATGAAGAAATGAATCAAGAGATTTAGAAAACATCAGCATGTTAGAAAAAATGGTCTTAAATATAATTATTAGTTTCTTCGCTAGTTTTATCAACTGATATTGGAAAAAAATTAATGTAAGTCCTGTATCATGCAATTCTAAATAATTTCCACATTTAATTTTTACATAAATTAAACATTGCGCTTCCTAAGTAGCCTAAAATATTATTTTATGAAAAAAGTACATATCAACATATGTTCAAAAATGTCTCCTTTCCAAAACACAGGACAAAGTTTATTATTATTATTTTTTTAATACCTATACAGGGGGATTCACAAACGGTGACCAAAAATGAATTTAATTTTTTTAAATAATTTAAAAACTAATAAGTGAAATAGTTTGAAATTGGGCACGTATTTATTTAAACGTTGTTCAAAATCCAAGGCCTTTCTTTAAAATTTAGACACTTCAGTGGCGGAGATACAGGGTACAGATGACATATTTTTTTAAATAAAATAGTACACCACTGCTTTACAATCATGATATTTTCGGAGTTCGGCTTTCAATTTTCTACATTTTTATTTTTAATTTTATGAGTTTTTTATAATTTTTTTTCATTTGAAGCTTAGTTCTGGAAAAGAATGTAATTTAAATAAATATAAAAAATTAATTCTAAATCCACAACTTGTTTCAAGAATTTTTGTTAAGGTAAAGCCAAAGCCAATAACGATGTTAAATAATACAAGTTTGACATTTGGAGAAATGAATAATAAACAAATGGCATTTTATGATTTTTAACAAAATTACAATTTTCTCCAGTACCAAGCTCCAAATAAAAAAATGCCAAAATAAAAAACATCAGTGGCATATCATTTTTTAAAATGATTGTTAGTTGATTAAATTTTAGTTTACACTAAAACATGTCCTCTAATATGTAGTTTAATTTTTAAAGTTTTAGAAGAAGAAAACGTCATGGATATTCAATAAGAAAACATAAAATAAAAAAGTAAAAAAAATAATATTTTTGACTACTTAGGAAACAGCTTGCAGAATAAATGTAAGTCGTCTCTCCCCAGAAACTAATAATTTGACAACAAACACAGCCATTCCACAACACCATCACCCATCCAACTCAACTCAACCTACTGAAAGTATGTTAACACTCACCTTAATGCGTCTTGCTACCTACTGGCTTTAACGATTCTTAACATAACATACAACACAATCATTAAATGGCACTCGGGATAGATATTGGTCATACTCACTGTAAGGAGCAGGTCTCTGTTGTTGGTAGTTGTTCCTCACGGCGCCGCCTCCGTATCCCTGCTGGTAGTTGTTGCCGAAATTGTCGGGGCCCTGTCCCCAGTTGCCGCCACCGCCACCGCCGCCGCCGCCTTGACTGTAACCTCCACCGCCGCCGCCCTGTGGGCTTCCCCAGTTACCACCGGAGTTGTCCCAGGGGCCCTGGGTCCAGGGACCGCTGCCGTAACCACCGGCGCCCCCTTGGTTCCAATCTCCCTGGCCGCCACGGTTGTTCCAGTTACCGCCGCCTCTGCCGCCACCCCGGCCGCCTCTTGGTGGACCACCGGAGCCGCCACCGCCGCCACCACCACCACCCTGGTTGTGACGCTCCATCTCGGCCTTGCTCAGGGCCTTTTTGACGTCGATGTGTTTACCCTTGATGGTGTGGTTGCGTTGCACTGCAACGTTAAGAATGTCGCCTTTGTTATTGAAAGTATGTACTTTCTAATTTAAGAGGGCTCTATAGCAAATAGGCAACCGGCAATACATTTTACAGATTTTATTACACAGTTTGTCTACATATGAATTAATGCACAAATAACAGACTTTCCCCCATTTTATCACTGATTTTCTATAAAATGGAGTTAGTTTGAAACTCAAATAACTTTTTGGTGTAAAGAAATTTGTAATTTACGAAGCCGCTTGTTCAAAAGTGGCAAATTACAAATTTCTTTACAACAAAAAGTAATTTAAGATTCAAACTAATTTCATTTTATAGGAAATCTGCGTTAGAATGGAGGAAAGTCTGTTTTTTGTGCATCGATTCATATTTAGACAAAATGTGTAATAAAATCTATAAAAATGTATTGCTGGTTGCTATTTGCTATAGAGCCGTCTTAAGGAAAATAAGGATTGTATAGGAAGTGCAAGAAGCGAGCATTCCTTGCACAGTTTCAAAAATGAGGTAAAATGATGACATCGTCCTTCAATGTCTTCAACTGAAGAAAACATCAAAAAAATAATGGTGCTTGCAAGCCGTTATTATAGTTTGAGAGAGCTGCCATATGAACTAAACATATTTCACGAATCAGTTCGCACCATCTTAGTTGATGTTTTGGGTACGAAACACGTAGCACTGCTGGTTCCAAAAGAGCTGAATTTTCTTCAAAAAGAGCATCGCAAACATGTTGCTGAAAACATGCTTGAACAAGCTAGTTCGGACTACATTCATGCAACATGCAACACATCTAACAGGTGACTAAACATGGGTTCTCTGATGAGCCAAAACCAAAAAAACCACGTCAAAACCAATCAAAAAAAGTCATGTTGACCATTTTTTTGACTATCGTGGTGTTGTTCACACAGAAACAGTAATCAAAGAATATTATCTGAGGCATTTGAGAGAGAGTCTCCATCACAAAAGCCCGAATTTATAGAAGGATAATTCTTGGATGCACCATAACACAGAGAGATAATTGTGAATTAATTTTTTACCAAAAACTCAACAAATGTCATCGAGCAACCACCTTATTCGCCAGATATGGTCCCTGTTGATTTTTTCCTCTTCCCAAAATCAAATTAGCAGTTCATAGAACACGTTTCAAGTCGACAGAAGCCATAAAACACGAATTTTTTTTTCGTGTCTCTTGTGAAAATATGTTAGATTATCATGTTTTACAAGCCCCCTCAAAAAATCAGCCCAAAAAAAGTTTTTTAGAGGTCGATCAAGATTTTTAAAAATTTTCAAAATCTTCAAAAATTGAATATTTTTTTTAATTTTTTTTCGTTATTTTATCATTTTCTAGGTTGAAAAAAATGTTGATTCTGAAAATTTCAAATCGATATTTTAATTTCTAAAGGTCACTCATAATTATTTTAACTTTAAAAGTAGTGTATCTAAAATGTTTTCGAGTGACCTCTAAAAATAAATATCAACAAACTAATAATTTTTTTTATTGAATTTGTTGAATAAAAGAATAGAAATCATGAGAAAAAATTTCTCGAGGCAAAATTTACTACCGCACTGTAACAAATAGTTACTTTTTAATTTTTTTAAATTTAAGCATCATGATTTATTTCTATTCTTCTGCTCATCAAATTCAATAAAAAAAATTATTAGTTTGTTGATATTTATTTTTTAGAGGTGGCTCCAAAACATAGGTACACTACTTTGAAAGTTAAAATAATTATGAGTGACCTTTAGAAATAGTGACCTTTTCAACCTAGAAAATGATAAAATAACAAGAAAAAATGTTTTTTAAAGAAATTCAATTTTTGACGATTTTGGAAATTTTTAAAAATCATGAGCGACCTATAAAAAAAATTTTTTTCAGCTGATTTTTTGAGGGTGCTCTTAAAACAGGATAAACTAACATATTTTCACAACACGAAAAAAATATTTGTTTCTTTTGGGCCACCCTACTGTATACGTTTTATCATCCCAAAATTTTGTAAAATCCGGCAGTTAACATTTTTTTTTTGAAAAATTTATATTTATATCTTGGAAGCGATGCATTTTCGGATTAAGGTTTACTCACATTTTGCTGCTGAAAGTTTGTGGCACTTTTCACATTAAAAAACTAAACAACCTCACTTCTAAATTCTAATATTAGGACTGGTACTACACATATCGGTTCTAACATAAGTGACCTAGAAATATGTATCATCCTGTATAAATCGTTTTTTTTACATGAATTAGGCCTTGAATTATCAATTATTTTTAATTAGATAAATTTTAAGACAAAACCATGCAATTTACTTTAATTGCAATATATAACATTAATTATCAAAAGGCCATAACAGACATAAAAGCAATCATTTTGGCATTAATTAGGACAGATGTTGGTTTAGTCCATCTATTATTTAGCTTCCATAGACAACATAATTTAATATTTCAAACACATTAAACTTTAAAACAAAAATGTACTTGTACTTACAGCAAATCTTGTCGACAGAATCGTAATCCTCAAATTCGATAAACCCAAAACCTCTCTTCTTCCCAGTCTCCTTGTCCGTGACAATAGTGCACGAGAGAATGTTGCCATACTGCCCAAAGTGCTCCTTCAAGTCCTCCTCTTCAACATCTTCCTTCAAGCCGCCAACAAACAACTTTTTCACTGTGGCCCCGGATTCCGGTCTGCCGATGTCCTGTCTCGGTACAGCTCGTTTAGGCTCCACGACACGGCCGTCTACCCTGTGGGGACGCGCGTTTTGAGCATCGTCTACCATATGGGCCTTGGAATAGGTGATAAATCCGAAGCCTCGGGATCTTTTAGTGGTGGGGTCCTTCATCACCACGACGTCCACGATTTCGCCCCATTGCTCAAAGTGTTTCTTCAGGGAGTCATCGGTCGTCCTGAAGTCCAAGCCACCGATGAACAGCTTGCGGAATTGTTCGGGTTCGGTTTTTTCACTGCTCTGGAATTTCATCGTTTTGTTGTTGAAAAAAAAATTAAACAATCCTAATTCAGCGGATAGCTAAAATTCGCGTCTTGCAATAAAATGACTGATATGTGACAGTATTTCAGAAATGAATTGCAAACTAATCATAATCAATAAATTATTGTAACTTATATGACGCGTCATCTAAATGTCCAAAGCGTCGTCGCCTTTAATATTAAAAACAGACTCTTTAAAACTAGTTACAAATATATATTTACTTTATCGCTCTTCATGATGAATCTTCCCCTTGGATTCTTCCCTTTCACCTATTATTAATTTGCTGAACTGAATTTATTTTATAGAGAAAAACCTCAAACTCAATTTCTTATTACAAAATGGCAACCAGGCAAAGCAATAATTACACTACGAACCACAGACGGCAGACGGTGCAGACTGCGCAACTGTAAGTCAGTACTGCCACCATACTGCCACACCACATCCTTCGAGCATATATACCTACTAGGGGCAACCTTTACTGCTAATTGAGCGAACAGACGGACGAGAGAGAAAGCACATAAAACTATATGCCATCTCTCTCACTCCATAAATTTTATTAGTTGAGAATCAGACCCCGTGATTCCCCACCGGCACCTCATATTACGGAGTGAGAAAGATAGCCTACAGTTTTATTTGCTTTCTCTCTCGCACGTCAGTTTCCCTCTAGCCTCTAGGAGGTATATGCTCGAAGGCAACAACCAAAGACAATAAACAAGCTGCAATTACAAAACACAAGATCGCAAAAAGGCTACAATAATATTAGCACAAGTGTTGGGACTGTTGAGTGATAAATAATCAATCAATAGCACAAGATCGTTAAAGAAGTGACCTTGGAAATTTTTTTAATTAGAATAGGGGAATTGTTAAAATTGTATTGGCTACCCTGGTTAGTGCTTTCTAATTTCTAGTTTCTACTAGACATTTAGGTTAGATTAAACTTGTTTTCAAAGTTTAAAGTAGCATATGAATAAATGGCTTTTATTTTTGGCAAATTAAGGTTGACAAAACATGTCTGTGCAGAAATTAAACACATCCCTTACTTAAATTTTACTCATAACACAGTTGAACTGCGGGGTGTAGGTTACACATTTACATTCTTAAAATTCTGTTCGATAAGATATTTTTCAGATGTCTTCAGAAGCAGAAAAAGCTGAACGTGCTAAATATGAGAAGGGAAGAGAAACAGTTTTTGACCAAATAATATCCCGAAAATTACATGCAGATATTATATTTGAAGATGAGCACTGTCTAGCTTTTAATGACGTAAATCCGCAAGCTCCTGTCCATTTTCTGGTAATACCCAAGAGGCGAATACCCATGTTAGATGATGCTACTGAAGACGATAAAGATGTAATGGTTATTATAATACCTATTTGAATCTAATTTACCGTAGATATGGATGTATTATAAATATTTTAGCTTCTGAGTCAACTGTTGCTAACTGCAAAAAGCCTTGCAAAAAAAAGAATGCCGAATGGATATCGCTTGGTTATTAATAATGGGAAGGACGGTTGTCAATCTGTATATCATCTGCATGTGCACGTTTTAGGAGGACGTAGAATGCATTGGCCACCAGGTTAAGAAGAGATAAGTGTAAATATTGAAATTGTTTGTTATGTAATACTGTTAATAAATAAACATGGCAAAAAGTATGAATCCGGCTTTTAAGTGTTCAATGGATTAATATATTCATGTTACGGAATAGGTATTATGATAGTATCAAATCATTTTAATAAAGTTGTTTTCATGAAAATAAGCGCTCAGATTCATAGGGAATCAATATATTGTATTTTTATAGAATAGTTTCAATTATGAAGAATGCTTCATTTTTGTAGAACTTGCAGAAATTTTGACATACATTACAGTTACAAGTAAAATCTTTAGTGGTTGTATTTATTTAATACTGGGCATAAGTATATCAGATTGAAATTGCACACAGGAATTGACACAGAAGTGCTAGTCTGTAGTTTTGCAGATCAATTTCTTTTTGCAAACATTGTAGACCTATATTGTTATTATTATTTCTGCTTACCTATTTATCAGTCTTTAATTAGATTTTCTAAAATTTTTTTAATTATCCCTTAAGAAAGTAAAATTACCATTTCTAGTAGAAATATAATTGCACTGAGACACTGAATAATATTTTTTGACCGACTACTGCGAACAATTTGCCATTTATGCTTTTTCTAAGGTTATTAAAGTTTTACAAAAAAAAAACCGATATGCAAAACTAAAGTGTCTTTACTGCCTTTGTCATTCTAAAGGCAGAATATCAGAATCAGAATATTTCAATCAATGCATTCTTTAAATTAGAGAAATCTCTACTGCGAAACTGTGCGAGGTTCTTAAGAATTAGATTAGTGTATAGATGTCGCTGTACCTCACAAACTGTCAAGGAAAATAATTGTAAGTTAAATCAAGGACATTTCCAACCCCGATCGCCGATCTCGTATTCGTATTCGTATTTTGGATTGGGTATTGAGACTCTTGAGTGTGACGTCTATTTGAAAAGAAAATGTCAATTTTTAATTGTGATCCGGATTCCGGTTTCGTTAGTTGCTGTGTACTGTGTGAACTGAGGATGACTGTTCGTTGTTAAATACGTATTTTGTGTTGTGGCTTTCGTAGCGAAGAATTAATTAGTGATTTTCGTTGCCTGTAATATTATGAAATGCCATTCCAGCACTTAGATTACGTGGAAGTTATCACTAATTACAAAAAGATTATGCGATTTTTGTGGTAGTGGCGCCTATCTCCAATTGTCGCGACACCAGAGTATCGCTATGCCGCGAAAAGGGAGGTTATGCAAACAGATAAAACGCAGTGTAAGTACTCGATTATTAGCGGGGATTGCGATTAGTTATTAACTTATTTACCGTCATGGTTTACGCTAATTAGATTTCGGATTGTTTTCGTTCCGACATATTGAGATTATCGGTTGTGTAGCGATTCTCCGAGGTGGAATTATGGATGATTACAGTCCATTGGACAACGATGAGCTGAGTGAATACGATATTTACGGGAAGACTCCCCCGCGGACGAAGATATTGAGGAAGAACCGCGAAAGGAAGCAGCGGGACAAGCAGACAGGGTGTGTATATTTTGTGGTCTTCGTGTAACTGCTTTAAGTGTTGTGTTGTATTGTAATATTAGTTGAAGGGCAGGTTTTCGATATTTATCCGTATCAGTCGGTGTAGACGCAGGCTAAGGCTGGTAGGTACGTACATATTTATTTCGATTGTAAAAAATATTTCGTTTTTGTAACATGTTTATGCCAACATTATATTAAAATTGTAGATAAGAATCTGTTGTTATCTACTTAATCAGTCATCAAATGAGAAAAATATAATTTAGGTACAACTTTATATCCAGGGCCGTAGCGAGTTGGGGAAGTAAGCATGGCACCCTATGTCGAAGATAGATTTTAATATAACCGCCTATCCCCATTTCTCATAAAAAAAAACGTTCTAGTTACGACCCTGCAATTCTTGGTCATAAGTTCAGATAAAAATACATATTCTAACATTCCTACCTACGCCAAATTCATGAAAAATTGTCAGTTCGTGGCCAGCAGTTTAAAAAGACTTACAATGAGACTACAAAATTTTAGTCTCGATATTAGTAATAGACGATGTGAGCCTATTTATAGATTTTTCGTTAGAATTAAAATTTCCGAAAACATCTTCGTCTTTGGCGTAATAACTAATTCTGACATCGAGCTTTATGGTGGGTGTTCTTAAACGTATTTTAGAAAAAGTAGTTTATATTAGTAGTATTCACAGAGGTATGTACTGCCCAACATAAAATTTATTTGTGTTGCTTATGATCTATCATTTTTATGTGGTAAAACGTTTAATATTTTTTATATTTTATTTATTTTGTGCATACCAACTTTTGTATGGTCTATTCAAGCCTCGACTAATCAAGTTGCCACTGCTGTAGTAATTTGATTTGACTTAAAAGTTTAATTAATTAGGTAATTACATTACTGTTAGGATTAGATTTCTGTTTATTCAACTCGCCTTAATGTGCAATTTCGTCTTAAAATAACTTTAGTACTAACATTTTTGGATTGCTAAATGTTTTGCAATAATTTTCTAGACATTTAATTGATAACAATTACAAATGCTTTTAGTGAACGATTTGTTGGAATTTTACTAGTGATACTAAAGTAAACTGTGGCTGGATTGACACAATCTAGCATGTAAATAAAAATGATTTGTGTAAACAGCGAAGCTAAAAATATTTTATCAAATAATGTTTATTTTATCAAAGAGAACGCACGGAGAGATATTATTCGTCATATGTGGGCTTTTATAAATTATTTTTCTCGAATTATAACACAGGAATAATTGAAATTCATTTGATGCGAGTTGGAAATTCCTGGGAGCCTATACACTGCCTTACATTCTTGGGGGAACATTTTCATAACTTTCATGATTTTTTTGCGGCCTGTTTGTTTAATACAGATGTGCCGATGTGCCGCTTTCTTCTACACAGGACATAGCGAAAGGGGTAAAAGTAGAAGTAAGTCCGTGTTTAAATAAATTAAAAACAATTCGTTATCACAGATGAATTTTTTCATTAATAACTTCCTGGAATTCTATACTGCAACCTTTCCTCTGTTGATTTTATCTATCAAAGACCGTGAAAAGGTGTGAATCACCATCTCGAATTATCGGTCGTTCAAAACATTGTAAAAAATGTTAATACTTACCTTCAGATAGTACAGTGAGAAGTACCTAGCTTCGTGTTATCTATAAATTTGCTCCTTTAGTAGCTGTGAATAATTTGAAGACTGATTGATGTGAAGTAATAAAAAATGTGCAATAAAAATACTTGGTGTGGTAAGTACTATACCTACTACAAATTTTGACAAAATTTTCTTGCCAATTATTCCATATTTTCCAGTTTGACAACTAGACTTTAGTTGCATTTTATCAAGTAAACGATATTCAAATATTTTTTTATGAACTAGATCCAAAAACGTGCAACTTCCTTGGAATTGTAAATTCTAAGTCGGCAATAAAAATTCATGATGAACTATTCCGTTGTAGTCGAAGAAAACGGTTAGAAAACATATCAGACAAACTGTCTGATTCGACATTTAGCCACATAAAAAATTACCAGAAACACTTATGTCTTACTGCCTAAAAACGGACAGGTACGTCACTGACAGTGCTACCAATACAAAAAGAAAGAATCGACTCTATAGATCACATACAACACGCGCATTTTGAAAATTCCTATTACTTTTTGATCAGTCCTCGTATGTATTTTTTTTTGTTCTACGTCTATCGACACGATGTTATTCTACACCCCTCGAAAGGCTACCCTTTAATTTATTTTATTTATGTTCTATCATGGAATTTTTCTGAATTAATGCCATAAACAGGATACACGCTTTTTCTTGCACGATTAATTTTTAATAATTTTAAAAGAGAAATTGTAGTACATACTGTTATTCCTTATATCACGAGAGAGACTGTTACATATGCCAGTTGTAACCTGTACTGGCAAGTGGCGAACTGAAAGAAACCTCCAATTTCCATGTAAATGAATATTCTGATTTCCCTGTGAATGTTTTGAATTCCTCGTGAATTCCTCTGAATTCCCAATGAATTCTCCTGAATTCCCAGAGAATTTATCTGAATTCACAGTAAATTCCTCTGAATTCACAGTAAATTCCTCTGAATTCACAGTAAATTCCTCTGAATTCACAGTTCTGAATTCACAGTAAATTCCTCTGAATTCACAGTAAATTCCTCTGAATTCACAGTAAATTCCTCTGAATTCACAGTGAATTCCTCTGAATTCCTAGTTTATTCCTCTGAATTACCAGTGAATACATCTGAATGCTGTTCTGTGTGAATTCTTCTGAATTTCCTGTGAATTTGCCTTACTTCCCTCTGAATTCCTTATGAACTTCTTAGAATTCTTCATGAATTACGTATCTCGTGTACATCATCATTCCTCCGCGGTTTACCCCTTAAAAATAGTATTTTTCACGGCAGCTTATGCACACATGTCTGCTTGTATTATTTTTTTTTATCTGGGAACGCCCTCTTCACTGATAATCATTTCACGGCTGCTCCTGTGTATCTTACTAAGTGTTGTACCACGTTTCAACCGATCGAAATGACGTGCACGTTCAATTTAAATTTTCTTTGTTGCAGACCAGCCATGTCGTCCCCGAAAATAGTGCGGACGAAAACCCCGCTAAGCAGAAGGAATACGGTTAGCGCGATGTACGACGAGCTCATCGCAAGGGCCGAGAACGGCGAGGATCAAGGTAAGTTTTCGAATATCGCTTCTTTCACTTCTATGCGGAGGCAAGTTCTCAAAGTTCAAACGAGTTATGTGTATTGAAAGCCGAAGCAGGATGTTTATTTATATGAATAGTCCAGTCCAATTGGATTATAAACCTTGAAAACTTAAAAAAGGTGTCAAAATTACGTGTTTTCCGTTTTTTTTTTACTGCCCATGAAAATGTAGATGACCTATCAGAAAATTAGTTGTTTTGTGTTGTAGGCAATGAAATTACCTACAATTTAATGTTACCTATTATTGCAAAAACGGATTGATGAAATTTATGGGAAAGACAGTCAATCCAATGACCAACATGTGTGCCAAAGGCCGATTTGATTGACCGTGAAATTGTTGCTGTAGGTACTTGTTAATAACTAATTTCGATCGTTTTTCTTGCAACTAATTATTGTTTAATTACTAAACGTTAATTTTAGAAGTTAATTTCGCAGATATAGGTTCTAATTGATCTAAAGAAACGTATTGAAAAAGAAAATGTTCAAAATGTTGAAATTAAGTTGCATTTTAAATCAATTGTCCTAGGGTCAGGCAAACGCCGCTCGGGAATTCGCTCTTTTTGCATTAAATAGTGCTTATTTTACGGTAATTGAAAAAAATAATAAATCACCTACGCCTCTTTGTTCCCAAGATAGTTCAAACTAATTTGACTGGGCTATAAACTGGTCTGAACCATCAAATTTTAATAGCACATTAAAATTTTCCAGTTTTGATAATCTTACTAGTAATCGATTTTAATAGCTACTAAAAGATTATTCGCAGTGGCGGCTCGTGGATCTAGAAATAATAATTCATAATAATTTTCTAAGAACCCTTGATTCACTAAATTAAATTAAACTAAATTGATTACGTGAAAGGGGAAACATATTTTAGGCAAACAGTAGCTAATAAGTAAAAAAAGGATAAAAATCAGGCGGGTGACGAATAGAATAGCAGAGTAATTTATGTAAGTGATATCTCATTTTCTAATGAAAGTTTTTTCTTTATTCAAACACTGAATTTATGCTCACCTATTGTTTTTACGTCGCGTTACTTTAAATATTAGTTATGAATTTCTATTTTGTATGTCAACAATTAGGTCAACTGTTAATGCCAAATTAATTTTAGCAAAAGTTAAAAATCTGAAGGATTAATTCAAACGTCTTGGTCTTAGTTGCAGATTGTCGGCAGTATTGAATTAGAAAGCGTTAAATTTTTTTTTTCTGAACTTCAAATGAAACCTCGGTATGCAGCAATGATTTAGCGTATTATTTGTATTTTTATCAACGTAAGATAAGTCAAATATATCAGATCTCTTTACTATGCCAGTTATATGTTTTCTTTAGGGTATAACACAATTAACAATACAAAATAAGGACTTACTTTTCCTGAATTTTGTACGCCTGTTCAACATATCGAAAACATTATAAACATAATCACACCCTGCAGAACGCTTTTAGGAAACTATTCACACATGCATTAATCACAATTATTGAGTATCTTTAAAAATTTGCTGGACAAAACAGAAAAGGTACATTTTCTGATGTTTACATGTTCCCCGTGATCTTATAAGTACTTGTTCTAAGACAATGTCTTATTAAAAGTGCGATTTCCATAAAACATCGGCCTTAACAGTAGCGCTAAACTGTTGATTATTTCAAATAATCGATAAATCGCTGACTAGAAAGAGTAAATATTTTGAAATTAAAATTAGTCGATAGTCGATTTTTTATTCCATTTGATTAATCCTTGCAATTTCTAGCGGTTTCACTGAACTCTGCTTATATACCACTCTGTGCAGGTTGCAATTTTTTTCATTACGTATGCAAAAATTGTAATTTCCTGCTAGTGCTAATCGCTACGATACAAGCCCAAGGAATGTACACTGTCACCTATTATCTTCACATTTTACCAAAAAATGCGATAGCTCGGCGGTGTTACTCACCATGGTAATTCTAATATGATAAGCCTACTTTGTTGCCTTGTACTAATCTATATTTACCTAAAATGTTATCAACCCATCGCTTTGCGTTTTTATTTCCCGGACTTAATATTGGTACGAGTATAATCGTTGACACACAGCAATTATTGGGAATAATAATAATCATGTGGCGATTATTCGTATCTCGATTACAAAATTAGAATGAACTTTGGATTCGTAGCTTAAGTTTTTCTAAAATGATTGTCGGTAAAAGTAATGTTTTGCGAAATAAAAAGCAAATTTAACAGCTTGATTAAAGAAAATATCACACGCAAGTTCTAGCACGTTCAAAGTTGTTTAAAGCACAGCCAATACCTAAACATATTCATGTGAATAACACTGTACAGCTGGCTTTGTTTTACACCACAATCCCGATAGTCATATTATGTTCCAAGTGTACAGAGTATCTCGAAATTAACGTACTACTACCGCAGACTGCGACTAAAAATAAGGGTAGAGCGTTGACCTGAGAGTTATCTTTTTCCAAATATCTCCTAAATGGTCAAAGCGGTCAAGATAAAATAAAAAAATTTAGATCTAGGTATTACTGTTTGTCGTGAATCTAATGGTTAAAATACAGGGTGTCCAAAAAGGAACGTGACAATGCGTTGGGTCAAAGTAAACAGTTACTGGCCTTCAATAAAATTGTTTTCATTTTATTTTTTCAAGATAACTCCTTCAGTTTTTGAAGATATTTTAATAAAATTAGTTTTGTGTGGATTTTTAAGATAGTCGAATATGAATGAGTTTATTTTTTAATTTAAAACATAGAGATCTCTGAGAACATCTTTTGTTTTGTCATTTTTAACATTTAACAGAGATTTTAAGATAACGCCGTCAGTAATTGATGACTGTTCTAAAAAATTTAAATCCGTTTTTCTCCGAACCGGTGTATTTTAGTGACGTGCAACAAATATATCTTTCATCTTTCGTTGTTACCTTTTAAATAACATCTGTGCTTTCTCGAAATCTATAAGAAAATGGCTCTATATTTTAAGGATTTATTTAAGGATCTATTCAAAAATTTTTTATCAATGCAATTTTTTTAAATAATTATAAACTACAATATAAACCTTCTAAATATTTCTTTTTAAACGAGGCATAGGAAACATAAAATACAGGATAAAAAGAACAAATTAAATCGCAACAGATTTCTGATCTGTCTGCAATTTGAGATATATTGCGTTTTAGTTATTTTATGATAAAAAAATAGTAGTCACATCATTAACACTCAAAGACAGCGACAGCTATAAGTTCATACAACTGACTGAATTGAAGTTACAAGTTTCACATATTTTTGCTATTTACCTGTAGATTGCATGTCACTATTTTGGAAAGTTGACAGTAACAGGGTTCGAAGGATATATATCACGATGTATACCACGATGTATATCATGATATTTAAATTCTGATATATATCTTGGATATTTATAACAAATATAAAATTTGCCAGACTGTTATAAAATGTAGTTATTCCCATAAAAAATAAGTGCACGACTATGTCGCTCATCATTATTCGATGTCTAACCACTAATTAGTTATGTGAAGTGAAATCATTTTAAGTTGATTATCATTTTCAAATTTTATTTGTTTAATGGTACTATATTATTATCGACCAAAGCTCAGTTTTTATTATCTTGTGATTGTTTTTATTAGAATATTGTATGCTTTTCTAAATAAAAAAAATACGATGGCAATGTATTCTTATTATTTGTCAGTTTTTTACATTAAATATCAAAATTTGATGTATACCCGATATGGTGATAAATATCATGATATTTTCGAACCCTGATCAGTAATAAATGAATTCTAACTCAAATTTTAAGGTTCACTTCACTGCCAATACAGGAATTATAAATACCGGTCAGAAGACTTAATCTCCAGTTTACTGAACTTCTTCTGACGAATGAGGATGTCTCTCGAAACGTCAATTTATCATTGTCATTGATAACTGCCACGGAAGCTTGCAAATCGATCTCAGTGGACAAGTTTTATTACCGTTTGACAGGAGCTTATATTTTAGTCTCGATTTGAGTATAGTATTGAGTGGTTTTTATCTGTTTTATTCATGAGACCAATTGAACATTAATCCAAGAGAGTGCGTTTATGAATAATCTATTTGCGCTTTTATCAACACGTCTAAAGGCCGATTTTCGGTTTTCTATAGTTTTATTTATTACACATATCTGAAAATCAGATCAATGATTGATAAATGCTAAAAGCATAAATATGCCTTAACGCTTCCCTTCGTCGTTTTCCAGGTACCAAGAGGACGAACAAGCGCCAGATGAAGCTCCTGCGCGGCTCCGAGCGCGACCTGAAGTTGGACATCGCCAGCGCCCAGGCCGTCACGGCGGCGGAGAAGGCGCCCGACCAGCCCCAGGAGTTCGAGTATCCCCGCACTCCCGGATACCAGATCGAGAGCTGCAACCGCTTCATGAGCCTCTCCTGCCGGACTGTGGCGTGCAGCAGGCAGGCGGGGGGGCACCTGAAATCCTCGGATGTCCTAGGCGAAGAAAGCGGGGCGTCCAGCGCCGGAGACGAGTGTCCGGCGTCGAGGGTGGAGTTCTATCACACGCTGAAGGCTCTGATAAGGATGGGGTGCGGGGATAAGCAGGTGCAGGATCGGAATCCCCGGAGGGCGGTGAGTGTCAAATTTTCAATTCCCTAAAATTGGGGGGTACTACAGGGGTCTGATTTTGGGCCGTTTGTCGTTTGTGTTGGATATACAACCGCTAAAACTTACGACTTAAAATTACTATAAAGTCCGTATCCTTATTTATGATTTAGTCATCTACTATTTGATTTTTGTCGATTAGCTTAATGTTAACCGAAGGTAAGGAGGATTGGCCAAGTTTTAGGTCAAGAGATCACTGATGTGGAATCCATGCGAAATCCTACAATCTTTGTACCGGTCATTTTTGTGTCAATAAGTAGTTTTCGAGAAGAAAGATCTGCTCATTTGCTCCTTCATATGAACTTGCCTAAACCTTGCGTAACTCTGTTTAAACTCGAATGATTTTAAAAGTCTATTTTTAGTGTCAACAATTTTAGCTTCGATCGAAAACAAAATGGTCTGAAATCGTGTCTCACTGACCCTACCAGAAGTCCTTTTTCTCAAATCAACCTTGGAATAAACTTGAACCTTTATTAATACGTATAAATGGACTCTATAAGAACAGTAATTGATTCCAGCGGTTATTCCATAAATTAACTTTCGAATGACCTTAAAATGGCCTTCAAATAACCTGACACAAACAAACTGACCTCAGATTTGAACTGAGAAACTCCAAATATGTGTATTACAGGCGGTTAGACTTAATTACTTGGCTTTTCTCAACTTGACCTTAAAATGACCTTGAGACGACCTTCAAATAACCTGATACAGACAAACTGACCTCGGATTCGAACCCAGTGACCCCAAAATCCTGTATAACATGTGGTCGGACTTAGTTGCTCGGTTTTTTCTCAATTTAGCCGTGAAATGACATTGAAACAACCTTAAAATGGCCTAATACAGACAAACTAACCTCCGATTCAGACTCAGAAATTTTTTTAAATAATAGCTAAAACAAGCTAAAAACATTTTTAAGCGATTACAATAGTAATATCATCTAATTCAGAATTAAAATGACTAGATTTTGTCATAAAAATAGCAGAGACGTATTTAATAAAAAATTAACCTGATGATGGCCCCTCGAAGACGAGACGTCATTGGATAGAGCGAAAAAAGTTGCAATGTAAATATGCAATTTATTTTAAAATTCATTTTCAAATAAAGCAAGAAAAAATAAAACGATTTTGCAAAATTTCGGGTTTTTCCAGATATCTCCGGAACTGCCCGGAATTTTTAAACTTTCTAAACGGCATATTGTTAGGTATAAAAAAATACAACTTTTTTCTAATTTAAGTCATCCCCTATCTCTTACCGTTTCCTAGATCCTAATGCTATCCCATCCTTGTGTAAAACACCTTTTTGTTAGTGGTGTTTTAAAGTACACCTGACACCAAAATTGTAATGTGTGGTGCAAAACACCTGATACCAAAATATATATGCAAAAACCACCTTGTGACCAAATTTCTACATTCCAATCTACAACCGTCGGACAGCTGCTTACCCAAGGACTANGCCAGTGTGGAATGTGCAGGGGCACCATCATATTGGAACTACTGACTGTTTAAGTCATCCGGAGGAATATGTCCCTGCAATTGGAGCAAGTCATTTTGTAAAAATTGCAAATACTCATTACCAGTTAAGTTTCCTTCAAGAAAATGTGGTCGAATGACATATTCTCCGCATATTCCCGCCCAAACGTTGACTTTAAAGCGGTGCTGATGATCGTCTTGTCTTATTAATCTGGGATTATGATCGGTGTAATGGTGATAATTATGTCGATTCTCTCGACTAGTATTGGCAAAGGAAGACTCGTCAGTAAATAACACCTTTGAAAAAAAGTTTCATCTTGTTGTAGCTTTATAGTTGCCCACTCACAAAACTGTACTCGCTTCTGAAAATCTTGCTGTGTTAAGAATTGGTGATGCTCAGAATGATAAGGGTGGAAGTTGTTTTTCTTTAACGTTCTATTAACCACACTTTTTGAAATACTAATTTCATCACTAATTTCTCTGACACTTGTAGATGGATTTTGGACTGCACATCACAAAATGTCAATTTGACTATCCTGATTACTGCATGCGTGTGTTCTTGTTGTCTTCTCATAATTTGCATTTGTTGTTCTTTCAAACCTCTCCTTCAGTTTTACAAAACACTTTGTACGAGGATATCTTTGTAAATCTGGATTATTAGTTTGGTAAATACGACTTGCCAATAAACAGTTACCATGAGCTTCTCCTACGGCGTGCACCATATTTACTAATTCTTCTTTAGAGTACTTCATTTCTCAATTATTATTACTATCGCTTTTCTATTAAACCTTATGTGAATCGAATATTTTCCAGATTATCCTTTGACAGGAGCCTACTACGTTATTTTACATACAGGGTGGTGCAACCAAAATGGGGTGGAAGATTACGCCTGAACGACGAGGAATTATGAAATAATTTTTTGTCACGAGGTGCATAGTTAAGAGATCCATATTCTAAAAATAATTTCATTATACAGGGTGCACACAAAAGTCCTTGGCAAACCAAACATATGTTTTTTTAAATGGAATACCCTGTATTTAAATCCTAAAATGAATTCTACCCATTACTACGATGTGTCTGATATAATGATTGATGAGTCTAAAGTTTATAGTTTTAGAGAAAATGGCGCTTTAACTTGAAAAACTACCCCCAAATCAATCAAATTCCTCCCCCATCTATAAAGGTTGTCAAAAAACGAAACCTGGTACAAAATGTACCATATCCTTGGGTATAATAATAAATCTTGACTGGTTCAAAAATCACTGACTAGTATACAGGGTGATGGAGCTTGACTATTTCACTCGAAAATCAATTTTTTAAAATGGAACACCCTAAATTTTATTTGCCCATATTAAAGGCAATAAAACCAGCTTTCAAAAAATATGGCACATGATACCCTTCAATAAAATACTTTCTTAGGAAATCATCGGAAAACTTTGATTTTTCAAAGAACGACTGAAACAAACTGTGAAATAACGACCAAAACTTCAACATTTAGTAAGAGGGCTATGATGTCAGTAAACTGTAGCTTTTCATTTTTTATTGAACTGATTTTAAGAGAAAGGAAGGGTTACATTCACAAAATATACAGTAGTTAATAAATCAATAACAAATAAAGAAAATCAATACCATTATTACTAACGTTACATAAAGATGTAAATGCTTTATAAGAGTTGTTCAATCAGGCCGCCATTTTGTTGAAGACATATTTCAAGCCGATGGATGAAGGAACGTTCAACATTTCGTAAGGTCTGCTCTGTAATTTGACGGAAACATTATTGAATCCGTATTTTCATATCATCTGCCGTTGTTGGAGACATTCTATATACTTGTTCTGAGACATATCCCCACAAAAAGAAGTCCATCGGCGTCAGATCAGGAGATCTGGCCGGCCACACAATCGGACAACCACGGCCAATCCACCGATTTCTCTTCCAGTTGTTTAAGTAATTTCGTACATTTATGTGAAAATGTGGCGGGGCTCCGTCATGTTGAAACCAGAAAGAATTTCTTAGTGCTAAATTTAAATTTTCTAAAAGCAGCGGCAATTCATTTTCTAAAAAATTTAAATAGATTTCACCAGTGAGATGATCCTCGAAAAAATAAGGGCCTATCACGTGAGTACCAATTATTCCACCCCAAACATTTTTAGACCATTTACTTTGGTGATCAATTTGGCGAACCCAGTGAAGGTTTTTTACTGAATAAAAGTGCATATTATGGTGATTAATCACACCGTTACTTTTAAAAGTTGTTTCATCGGAAAACAGCACTTTATCTATAAAATTGGGATCATCCCTAATCCTGTTTAACATCAAAATAGAAAAGTTTTCCCTGCTGTTAAAATCCCGATCATAAAGTTGCTGATGTAATTCCATATGATAGGCGTGATATTTATGCTGTTTCAAAATTCTCTTGACGCTAGTGCGGTCTATACCTAAGCTTCTCTCAATTTCTCTAGTACTTGTTTGTGGATTTTCTTGTGCAGTTAGTAATACTGCTAGTTGATTTTCTTCATTTGTTACTGGTTTGTTAACTACCTATTGTACGTTTTTTGAATGCAACACTTCATGTCTCTTCAAATCGGTTCAATAATGAGCGAAAAGCTTCAGGCCTTGTTTTTTTCTCGTTTTCCGGATATCGTGCCGCATACACTCTACTAGCTAATAACGGATTTCTTTGACATTCGTATAGAACTAATATCATATTGATCATTTCTTGTGTACTTAAACTCATTTTGAAAACCTACTTTTACAGAACTGTCAACTACTTAATTGTCAAAGACAAAATGTTACAATCGTCATAGCCCTCTTACTAAATGTTGAAGTTTTGGCTATTTCACAGTTTGTTTCAGTCGTTCTTTGAAAAATCAAAGTTTTCCGATGATTTCCTAAGAAAGTATTTTATTGAAGGGTATCATGTGCCATATTTTTTGAAAGCTGGTTTTATTGCCTTTAACATGGGCAAATAAAATTTAGGGTGTTCCATTTAAAAAAATTGACTTTCGAGTGAAATAGTCAAGCTCCATCACCCTGTATACTAGTCAGTGATTTTTTAACCAGTCAAGATTCATTATTATACCCAAGGATATGGTACATTTTGTACCAGGTTTTGTTTTCTGACAACCTTTTTAGATGGGGGAGGATTTTGATTGATTTGGGGGTAGTTTTTCAAGTTTAAGCGCTATTTTCTCTAAAACTATAAATTTTAGACCCATCAACCATTATATCAAAAACATCGTAGTAATGGGTAGATGTGCAAGATTCCAAACTACAAGCACCTGACACCAAATTGTACATGTGCAACAATGCACCTGACACCAAAATATATGTGCAAAAACCGATCCAAACTTGCACTAAAAGAAAAACCTTAATACTACAACCCTCGGGCAGCTGCTTACCCAAGGACTATTCCCCCTCGGGCACCAATAAAGTCGCGGCTCCCGATTTTAGACTACTGTTCGTACCTTCGCCCTGGCTTTCTCCTGGTTGGTTGTCGAGCGGCTGACAGAGACCTGGATTCGGCTCTGGCTAAAGTCGAAGCAGAAAACTTCTCGCAGAGACTTCTAACTAGCGGGAATGAGTCAGGCGGTTGTGAGAAATCAAACCTCGCATTGATTTAATACTAACTATATATTGAATAATGTTCAGAGAGACAGCGTGATCGCTGCCGCTCTGTCTAGGATAACGTTACAAGCAAAATCAAAGAAAAAGAATAAAAATACTACTTAGTACATATAATGAATAATGTTCAGAGAGACCGTCTGATCGCTGCCGCCCTGTCTAGGATAACGTTACACGCTAAATCAAAGAAAAAGAACAAAAATGCTACTTGGTTCACTTACCAAAACTTCCGAAACAGAATTGGTGTTAATCCACTGAGAAACACGAAACAGAATGGCACCCACCGTGCACAGTACACTCCGTCGCGGTCGCCACAACTTTACTAAAATAAAAAATGAACCCAAAACTAAATCCCAGTTGACTTGTAATTAATTCCCGACTTCTGACCGACTTCTGACTGACTTTAGAAAAATAGGGCCCAAAACAAGGTCTAGTGCCCGGCACTAGAAAATAAACTTCCAATTCAGCGAGTCCCGCAACGACTTTAGATTCCCGGAGTCCTAAACGACTTTCGGATTCCGGATCCACACAATAATCCCTCGATTCCCGGAGCCCCGCAACGACTGACTCTAGTCTTCCTTCAAAGTCTTAAGCTCCCGATTTTCCAATGTTTTAACCCCGCCCTGTATTCTAAAGCTCTCCTAATTAAAACATGGTCGAATCGATCCCACCAATCAATTATTACATTTTTTCAATAAATCATTCCCACTTCAGTGTTTTTGTCTTTTATCACTAAAAGAGGGTGTAAACTATCTAAGTATACCGTCGGCCATTACTAAGAAAGGCGTAACTGCTACTTTCTGCAACCGCAGCTTTTTTCCCCACGGACCGAAAGTTCCCAGGAACAGGAATCTTTCCAAAAGTTGTTAAATTGACAGTTTTCGAAGGAGTCGTGCTAAAGATAAAATTTAATAACAATATCCGGTGAGTTTCTCGATAACTTTTAAGATTTGTTTATTTTAAATCACGCCGAGATGCTTTTTCAAAGCCTCCTTTCATCCAAGTCCGTGAGACCGGCTTCTATCTCAGCGAACTATACCATCGCCTGTTTCTAGCCCTTGGCTTAACTTAACTAGGTACCTACTATACAGTAAGTCTCTATCTACTAGAGTTGCGATTTACTACAATACTTCCCCCTTTGAAAAAGTTACTGCCTACACACTGGGCAGTGACCTTTTTGAATTACTTATCATACCTGACAGCTTCTAATCAAATTACTATGTAACCCATTTATCCCAAAATCTTACGTATCAAGCTATCAGCCATGATTCTAGGGTGAAACATTAACCTAATTACAATATTAATCAAGTGGACAATCCCACTGTTACCTATAAACTAGTACCTCACTCCGTGATTCACTGTTAACGCACCGCACTAGTTAGGGCGCACTTACAAGTCTGATTGCCTACCTGTTAGGCAAGGGAACAGAGGATATAGCCTCGGTGGTGATCCTCCTGTCCTTGATTCTGGAGCGTTTGGTTCTGGCACCGGGATAGCTGCCATCTCAACGTCGTTGATTTTCTTTGGGTACTCGTCCTGGGCCTTGGCGTCCCTCCTACGCTGCTGATGTATTACCCACATGGTTAGGGTATTCCACAAACACGCCAGCATCTGAATCCCACCTCCTACCGTTTGGTATAATTGCAACGCGTTCAGCACTACTCCGAACACATACTTGCAAATTCGAAAAATAATATAGAATCCTATCATTCCACTTATGAATATGCCCAAATCTGTGAACCATCCCCATAACTGTCTCATAGTGGAGTGAGCCAACTCCTTCATTTCGTCAGGGTCAAACATGCCTAACGTGGAGAAACCTTGTCCTCCCGCACCCATTCCTGCTATTCGACAGGCAATAATATTTTCGACTACCTTTCGTTCGGTGCCAAATGTTAGAAGTCTTTGGACTTTCCTAATTTCCTCTTGGGTATAGAGTCCCCGCGCCCCTATAGGCTGTATCGGCTGAAACTGTACTTTTGGGTATTGGACGGTATCGAATTCCTTAGGCGGTTGTCTAATCGTCGGATGGGGAACCAGCCCTATCCATTCCCCCTCGACGTAATATAAAGGCGGAGTCAAACTGTTGCATTCAATTTCTTCTCCATAATCTTGGAGGATCCTCGTAATTGGCGATAAAAATTTTGACTGATTATTATATAATACGGGTAACTCTTGGTAACATCGGTTCGTTCTGCGACTAGTTGCGTGCTTAGGCACACACCTTAGTATGTATAATACTTCCCCCATCGCATGTCCTATATACCCTTCCTTATCTTGAATAATTTGACTAACTGCGTCGGGTACTATAGGAGCCAACAAAAGTCTATTTTTCAATATTTCGCGTTGCACTAGGCATCTTCGGTGAATAGCTAATGTTTCTAAATCCCGTTTATATGCCTGCTCCTCGTATAAGAATTTACTGTTCGCGTACAGCATTAAGTCTGTATCACCGGGTAACAAATCGCTAGGGAGTTGAAAATGTTCATCGCGCTCTCCCAATACTAATAACTTTGGATGCTCCGTCTGCCAAAATTCTCGCCCGCATAACTGAACTCGTTTTATTAACGTCACGGCGAACACTTTTGGGTCCTTATTTACTACAACGTACTGTTCTTTTGTCAACACGTTCTTGACTTTTTCGGCCGGTCCATCGTACAACATTCGAAATTTGTCCTCGCACAACCCTTCCGTTTTATAGTCCCAAGTCGTTTCTCCTACTGTTGAATCAAAACAATAGTTCTCCAAAAAGGGGCACGTCACGCCGCCCTTTAAACTTATCTCGTTTTCGCCTAACTTTACCATCGCGTAATAGTCCATAAGTACGATCCGAACGGTGGCAGTGATTATAACGTCATGCCACGAAGTTCCGCTCTCCGCATAACTCGTACCTTGACATCGGCCCGCACTATCTACGTGTCCTTGCAATATCACCACGGCCGTAGTTGTCCCGTTTAACACTATCTGTCCGATCGTTTGTTGACCGATTTTAAACGCCCGGTACCGGTGGATCATTCTGCACTCGTGTGCTCCTACCTGGTGAATGTAGCTCGAGAGTCCTCCTGCTACTACAGAACTATGGCTATGCATGCCACAGTGGGTGACTTCCATTAGACAGGACCACACATAGTGCAACCCTAGCTCAGCTCGTTGTACCACTTGGATTTGAATAGGCTCAGTATGATAGGTGGGTTCTGGCTCTGGACAGGCTGCAACCCCTCTGAGGGAAACGGAGGAAATGTTGACATCTTTGTCGAAACAGTCATAGGCTACATGGCCCACAATATTGGTCAAATGGGTCGCTCCCCAAACCAGCATGACGATCACGCTTAACAGTCTTCGTCCCATCTTTGACGGCCTTTTAGGTTCCAATCCTCTGTAATAAAACAGACAGGCAGTATCCCCAAATAATACTCTCTTGTACATTATAAACAAAACTCAACTGAACATAATCAAGTTCCTCATGAACTTTTCTTCCAATACATAAATTCTTATTTTAACAATATCAAATTCCCAATCAGGGTACATATTCTCTTATAATTAAAATAAAATCCTTCATATTCCCCCTTGTTTCTTAACCTACGTAAAAAGGTGTCTCTTAACCACCCTTGTATGGGCTCGCTATAACCATCCCGGTTAAAGGAGACCCGAATTATAAGTTCCCTTCTATGCAAAAAAAGGTAAAATCTGACTGTAATGACTCTAAAGGTGAAGGGAACGAGTAAAATCAAATCTTTCGTGAACATTTTACAATCATTGAGTCCAACTCAATGATCAATGCTTAGTCCTAGAAAAGGAATTTTGTGACATCATGTAACGTGAGGCCGCGCTGGCTTCAGCTCCCTGACTTTCACAAGGCGGTGACCTTGATCCAGCCAGAAGAGGTGAAAGGTCCCCTACTACGATTCCACAAAAGTTTCATACGCTGGCAGACCACCCACGCTAACATGAGACGAAATCCTAGAATGAATTTAGAAAACTGCATCCTTACGGGACTCTGTGTCTAGGTCATGTCCGTGTCAAGCGTACATGTTGTTCAGTATTGTAAATCTCATATCTAGGAAAAAAATTTATCGATATATACTCAAACAACTAGAACTCACAAAACGTTTCTTCACAGATAATCAAATATTTACCCACTGACAATACTGATCCCCTTAATACTTTACCCTTTACCTCTGTCGACTTGTCCGGGCGTTGATTTCTCCCCATCCATGCACTTTTAGGAACCAATTTCCACAGTTCTTGCATTAAATCCGATCGTTGCCAAGGAGCCTTCTCCACATGTATCGATGCACAGGACTTACATTGAGTACAATACCTGCTAATACCAGCGTTCATACCAGGCCAGTAAAACTGCGTACTGACACTCTGGAAGGTTTCTTGCGGCCCTTGGTGTTCAACCAGCACCTCATGAAATATTCTCAATATTTGCGTAACTAACATCTTCGGTACAACTATCTTCTCTGACTTATTTTCGGCATCCATTTTGCATAACAAACTATCGCTATCCACGTAATACTACTTCATAATTTTATCGTTCCTCGATCTGAACCCTTATAATTTGTCAATAACTGTCGTCTGCTTGAGCTGCCCGAAATGTCTCTTTGTCCCATACATCCTCCAATTCTTTATATCTTATAGTGCCTGCGTCCATCGATTTCTTTGGGAGTATAACTTTTTCTACGGCTACTTTAGCCCTCCCATCTCCTTGAATAATCTTCGTTGCTTTTCTCGTTCGATCCTTGGCATCTTCTTCATGTTTCCCATTTTCCAATTTCCGCAATTTTTCCAGTACCGATGTATGCTGTTCTTGTAACGTCGTAAACATCCCCTCAACTTTCGTTAACCTTTCCTGCAATAGGTCTGCTTCGTTCTTCTGGGTATCCTTTTCATTGTCAATTTTCTCCATGTTTCCTGAAATTCTATCCATTGAATCGTCCTGCTTCTTAAGGTTTTTCCTTCCTGTCGGCCTCCGGGTTCCTAAAATTCTTTCTTCGGCACGAGGTCTTTCCTCCCCTTCTGCACTCCTGTGAACCTGTGCTTTTACTACCATGCAATTGGTCCGCGGCTTCTTATAAAATTCTCAGACTATTCGTAGCCAGTCT